CTAATAAACTTTATTTTAATATAAAAATAAAAATTATTTCTTATTAAAATTATAAATTTTAATATAGAGAGAAAATTCTAATTTTCACTATGTTTTATTAGTAAATTTAGTCCCTAAGTCATTATTTTTGGTTACTACTATAAGTTATATAAATAAAAAAAATAAATTTTAATTAAACTTTTCAAAATATTAATAAATTATCTTTATAAAATAATCTCTATAAATATAGTAAAATTAATCTTTTTAATAAAAATTTTAAATATCTTGATATTAGTTTTATTATATATTTTTTGAAATTTTTAATTAATTATTTTTTTTTAATTATAAAATAATATTTTATTAAACTTATTACAGAAAAATTATATTCTATTAATAAAAATAAATATTAAATTTTATTTAAAATAATATTAAAGAAAAATTTTAAATTAATTAAAAAGAGTATTAAAATAATAATTAATATAATTATAAAATTATTAAAAGATATAGTTAATTATTAAATATCTGATCTCTTCTAATTTTTTATAAATTATATATAATATATTAAATTTTTTCAAGTATAAAGAATATTATAAATATTAATTATAATATCTTTTAATAAATTATTAAGATTTTTATATTAATATTATATATTCATAAATTTTTATATTTAAATATAGTAAATTAATTATATTAAAATATAATATCTTGATATCTAATAATCTAATTTGAGTAATAAATAATATTATATAATTTATCTAATCTAAATAAATTAAATAATAATATTTTTATTCAAATTAGATTATTAGATATTAGAATAAAATAAATAATTTGTATTTATTAATTAATTTTTCATTAAAAATTAATTACTAAAAAATAAATTAGTTAATTTAGGATATAGTATCTTGATTTTTAGTAATCTAATTTGAATAAAAATAATATTATTTAATTTATTTAGTCAAAATAAATCAAATAATATTATTTTTATTTGAATTAGATTACTAAAGATCAAGATATTATATCTTAAATTGACTAATTCATTTTGATTAGTATTAAAAAAAATAAATTTGCTATTTTAAGATATAATATTTTAATATTTAATAATCTAATTTAAATAAAAATAATACTATTTAATTCATCTTAACTAGATGATTAAATAATTATATTTTTATTTAAATTAGATTATTAGATATTAAAAATTAATTATTAAATATTAAAATATATATTATAAAAAACTAATTATATTTAAAATATAAAAATTTATAAATATATAATATCTAATATAAAAGTTTAATTAATTTATAAAAAATATTATAATCAATATTTATAATATTCTTTATGCTTAAAAAAATTTAATATATTATATATGATTTATAAAAAGTTAGAAGAGATTAAATATTTTTGCAAAGTATTATAGAATTATAATATATAATAAATATAAAATTAAAAAATATTATATTTAAAAAATTAATATATAATAGAATTTTTTTTAACTATATTTTATTATATATTATATATCTATATTAAAGATAGTTCCTTAACTGTTATAATATAGTGACAAATAAGCATTATTTAGTTATAACTAATTGTGACTTATAAAATTTTGGAGTTACAACATGTTATAATATGTGACAAATAAGTATTATATACTTGTTACACCATCTCTAATCTATATATCTATAATTTTATTATAATAATAAAGTAAATATATATATATAATTATATTTAATATATAAGTATTTATTTTTTTCTGATATATTATTATTGATATATTAATAATATATATATGATTAAGAATTTATCTTGATATTTCACATATTGAATTAAATCTAATAATTTTATCAATTGAATATATTTGATCTTATATAAATGATGACAAATATATAATATACAATTATTTTACTAAGAGAATTGAATATCAAGCTTGAAGCTGAAAAGACTAAGTTTAAGAATAGATAATTAAGCTTGAGGCTGAGAATATAGAGCTTAAAGCTAAGAATATAGAACTTGAGATCAAGATAGCAGAACTTAAAGCTGAGATATCCAAGTAATTAAAGAAGATTATGATCTATTTGAAACTTATATAATAAAATTCAAACGACTCAGTTCACACTATCCGGGTTATTTTGAGAACTTAAGATTCAGAATGCAAAGAATAAATCAATATCAGAAAAATATGCAAGAGAATTAGAATATAAGAAAAATCGTAAATTCCAGACTAGATATATTCAGATTGCTAAAGAAATTCTTAAGAAGAACCAATAATTGAGTATCGACCCCTTTTTTGAACGGATTAGAATTTGATGCCTTCTTTCAAAAATATCAGATCGCATTGGAGGTACAAGAAGCTCAACATCGGTTTTCATAACACTAGCTGGTATAAAGATATCAAAAGATTCGAGGAGATAGTTAATCGTGATCGGAAGAAAAGATGCAAGTGTCAAGATATGAAATCTTCTTTCTTGAGGTATGGTATGACGAAACCCCAGAAATCGTTATTCCCAAAAGAAATACAAAAAATTAAGGATTTCGTTAATCAATCAATCAAAAATTTTGACTTATAGTTAATGATATAATATATGCACTGTAACTTAATATGACGCAAATGTTATGAATCTTAGATTTAAGTAGCGGAGAAATATTTATAAAGAATCTGCTTCTGTATTACCGACAGAATTCGCGCTAATCAAGTATATATTTGCGTTATTAGCTTTAAAAGATAATTAAACTAGCAATCGCATCTGCACTGTAGGATTTTATTCGTTTGATTTTTTTTTCACCCTTATTTCTTTAAACAAGCTGTAAATTAATCTAGTTCTTTGGGTTTTTTAGAGTATCGTTTGTGGTATATCCGAAAGGTTAGATCGCTAATTCTGCCGTCATTATCCCTAAAAGCGCTTTTTGATATAATTTGGCTCGCTTTTTTTTTAAATTCAGTAATCTATTAGACTATCGGGCACGTGGATAAATATTTTTTTACCCACAGTCACTTGCCAAATAAATTACATTTAAATCTAGTAAATTACATTTACTTTTAGATATTCATTATCTCGCTGAAGAGCAAACCAGTAAAAATGGTTAAATTTAATTTGTTTAAAGTTCTTAAGAAAGTATTTTCGTCAGAGAGGATTCATTTACCAAAAAAACCACTAGACGAAACAAGGTGTGCAGATCTCGTGTTAATTTGTATTATTCTTCCATTATTAACTTTTTATGAATTGCAGTCTCCCTTTTCTGCTTGCCTCAGACGTTTCCATGCAAGATTATAACTCTTTTGTTGAAAAACAAGAGTCAAGTGGATACAAGTTTGAATACAGAAGCGGAACCATATATATAGTCGAAATGAGTTATTCTGAACGTGAAGCAGTAATTGATACGATGAGAGACTACTTTCGTGCTCACAGCCCTCTCACTACTTATACACCTTCTAATGCACCAATAAAAACTCTTGGTAGTCCATGTAAGAGAATTTTTTCAGTTCTTTGATTTCTTATTGTTTTCTAATATCTTTCGTTGATCTTTTATATTATAGTTCATTATTCACCAGATGATGGTATAATAAAAATTGCACCAGATCTTGCTGTTTATCCAAATCAGACCTACATTCCAGCACCTCCTGTCCCGCACCCTGGACCACCACCTAGTGATGCGAGGGTACTTTTAATTTGTCATATTGATATAAAACAAATTGGATACTAATATAGTTAATATAGGGAAACCCTCATGCAAGAATTATCTGCGAAGTGGCTTCTTCTCAATCTTACCGTGACTTAAAAAGGAAATGCATGCTTTGGATGCGACAATCATATGTGCGATCCGTAATCGGCATCAAACTTTACAAAATACGTGATACACGCAACAACCCACTAGGAAAGAGAGAGCGGGCAATGAAGGTACATCTTATTGTTTTATTATTATAAAATTTTATAAATTAATATATTTAACTTTAAATAATAGGCCACACTTTGGCGGCAAGGAGTTCAACAGCAGAAGGTAAGTTTGACTGTTGCGGACTTTTTTTACTTTTTACAATTTGTAACGCAAAAGTCAAATTTTTTATGACAGTGGAAATTCGGCACTGTTAATAAAGATGATTCCCCTATTGGCAATACTGCTTGCAATGGCCCGAATAACCCCAACTATATAATCACAATCCCTTTTAGTGATGTATTCTATGATCCCCAAGTTCCTTCGATTGGATACACACCACTGCCTCCTCCTCCTCAAGAATTGATGAATGCCTTGTTTAGTATAGATTTATATGAAGTTCAACAGAATGTTTTAACTTACCAACAAATATAAATTCAAAGTCAAAATCAACCTTTAACCCAACAAATTGCTCCCTTGGGTATTCAAATCATTTAATCTGTGCATATTAACTTTAGCGGAGCTAGCAAGGCTAATAAATGTTATTTAGAATTTATGCAAATGGACAGGGAGACAGAAAAAATAATATATACGTAAATAGATATAAACAATAAGATATAGCGAATTAGTATTGGTTCTTTAGAATTTCGCACTAATTATTGACGATCACAAGATATTTTCAAGTTTAAAAGATTCCTTTTCAAATTATACTAGTATTCTTTCTTTTACTTGATTTTATTCCTTTGACCATACAAAATTGATTTTGGATTTTTGAATTATAATATTATATTAATTTTTAATTTATTTGATATTATTTTAAGTAGGTATCTTTATCACCAAAAAAAATTCGAATATGTGACTTAACGTGATTTATTTATCACGTGGCTAATTTTCATGATTTGTTGATTTTTTGAATGATGCAATAATGATATATTAATTATCAATAAATGGAAGTTTGTAATTTACTTTTCATGGTACTGAAACCTATTAATATACTTGTTAACAAAATAGATAGTACTCTAGTCATGGCAAAAAAAAGTGTTGGTCACATGATTTTCCAACCAATATTCAGTATTCAGCTATATCACATTATTATGATTAATACCAAAGTAATAGCACACTTTGCAGATTTTTAATTAGTCAAGTCAAGTTAATAGTAGCTTTATTATTAGCTTTTCTACAATACTATAACATGCTAAATGACTTTAACTTTCTTTTTTTTCTAGAATTAACATAATCAAAATGCAAGTTTTTTTTCTTTCAATTTTTCAGTTTCTTGTTAATTATAGACTTGTAATATCTCCTGACACTTATTAATCACTTTTATTATTAGCTTCAATAAGCTATCAAAGATATTTACAAAGTGATTATTATTTATTTTAATTATATTATATCTTATAATTGTTGATAAATTAACAATACTCAAGCTCTCTTTTTTAATAAGATTGATTATTGATATATCTTGTAAGTTATCATTTTCTTTATCAAGATTATTTATTTTATATTGAGATCAGAAATTATTTACTAAATTGATTACTAATATTTTATCTTTTTCAAAAATAAGTAAAGGATAATTATATTGATACGTTATTTCTGAGCAGATAGACTGAAAATAAATATTATCTTTCTTTATAATAAGATACTTGTAGATAAGGTAATAGCTATGAAGATATGTTGGACAAGAACATATCCAGTTATTTATATTAATATGATAGATTTTATTTATATCAGGCTGGATTTTTATGATTATTATTTTTTTTCAATCAATTTTAAAATCATTCTATCATGATAGAAATATCTAATTTTCTTTAAATTAATTTATTTTGAGATCAAAATCAGATATCAATTATTTTACAAGAATCTGAGTAAGACAGTTTAAATATGATTAATTATAATTATATTTATAATTATATTTAAGAATCTGTTAATAACTTTCTGTAATCATAGTAATTTACATTAATAGTATGATAATTGAATATGCTGACTGAGAAAAAAGCTTTCAGTTTTTTTTATTATATCAGTTTATCTATAAATATCCTCATAATTCAGCAAGATTATGACTATAATAAAACTGATAAATTTCTTTCACACAGCTTTGGTAGAACTTAGCAGAGCTCCAGAAAATATTCTTGACTATTGATATGAGTGGATACATATTCACATATCTTTTTACTATGTTCAAGAGTTTTTTGATAGAATCTTCTGGATATAAATTTCTAATATTTTGATTTGATATCTAGAAAGTATTAATAAAATCAAACTATTTGTAAATTACTAAAGCTTTTGCTACAGTATATGCACTTGCTTTTGATTTCTTGTTCTTTAACTATCTGCTAATAGCATACTTGAGATACTAATAATATAAATAAAGATTAGTAATATCTAATTATATCTCATTCATGGCTAAGATCTCTTTAGTATTTTTATTAACTAAATAAAATATTGATAATAGATCTATTTTTTGAAGACTGATAAAAAATCTACAGAAAACTTATACTTTTATGTTGATTTAATTCTCAGAATTATGATTTACTTATTTAGTACTATCAAATATTGAAAAATATAAGTATGTTAAAGATATATCATACTTATCATATTAGTATTTATAATAAAAAGCTCAAAGTACTCTTAATTAGTTTTAAATATAGAATCTATAATAATCTCATTTATATTTTCAATATTAATATGATTGAATAATAATATTACAAATCTAAGAGTTTTAACAAAATTATTTTTAACATAATAAATAATTTTAAAATCTTTTATCACAAATTCAGATTATTTAATATAAGAATTTACTAATATGAGTTAATTTTTATATTTTCTAGTATATATTGTTAATATTATTGATTATAATAATTTTTCTCTTTATTTTTCCTCTTTGACAGAAGTTGATTTGAGTTTATTGATTTATTTCATAAGTTTGATAATTTCTACTTGGACAGTTTGGAATTTGATTTGCAGATTGATATTGCATTCTTGAATTAGCTTGTAATTTTCTTGTTTGATGACTAATTCAGAGCTTTGACAGTGAGATATTTTTTAGCATATATTATTAATATTATTAATTATGATGATTTTCCTTCTTATTTTTCCTCTTCAGCAGAAGCTGATTCAAGTTTGCTAATTCATTCTATGAGTTGGTAATTTTTACTTGAACAGTTTGAAATTTAGTTTGCAAGTTAGTATTATATTTTTGGATTAGTTTATAATTTTCTTGTTTGATGACTAATTTAGTAACTTTGGCAGTAAGATTAAAGATGGTGTAGCAAGTATGTGATACTTATTTGTTACCTATTGCAACATGTTATAACTCCAAAATTTTATAAGTCACAACTAGTTGTAACTAGGTGATACTTTATTTGTTACCATGTTGTAATAGTTGAGAAGCTATCTTTAAGTAAGATATTTTCCAGTATATGCTATTGATAATATATATATCACAACAATTTTCCAGTATTTTTTAGCACAATTATTCATATTCTTTAGTATAATAGATCATACCACTCTTTCTTTAGTCATTCTTTACTACTACTCAATCTATTAATATAATAAAAAAATTATATAGAATTAGAATAGTATCACTTTTAATATAGTAATTAATAAAAAATATATAAAATAAATAGTTATTAAATAAAACAGAAATAAAATTATATACAAAATCTTTTCTCCAAGAGAAATACTTATAAAATTGCTTTATAAAAATTATAATTTTAAACTTATTGATTAGATTCTTTCTATCAGAAAAGATGATAAATTCATTAAATCTTTTAATTCAAAAAAGATGAAATGTATTATTGATTAAATGATTTGATTAATTTAAGTTTAAGACTTTTAGTTAGAAAAAGTACAGAAATAAAAATAGATTAGTTAATAATTAATACATGAAATCTTCTTTATCCATCTTATAATTACTTTTGGAAATGTTCATATTAAATGATATTCATAAATAATAAAATTAGTTTAATCACTCTCTCTCACTTACCATTACAGTTCATAATTTTCTCCAAATTCATAAAACTCTAATCTACCTATAATAATACTAAATTTATTAATCTTTATCACAAGAAAAATAAAAATAAAACTGTATATATTATCTTTTCTCAAAGAAAAATACTTGTAAAAATTGCATTATAAAATTATAATTCTAATATATTGATTAGACTCTTTCTATCAGAAAAGATAATAATTTGAGTTAAGTTCTTTAGGTAAAATGCATTATTATTATTAATCAAATAATTTGATTAATCCAAGTTTAAGACTTTTAGCTAGAAAAAACATAAAAATAAAAATAGATTAGTTAATAAATTAATACATAAAATCTTCTTTATTTTATCTCATAATTATCTTTAAAAATATTTATATTGAATGATATTTATAAATGATAAAATTACTCTAATCACTTTCTTTCACTTACTATTATAATTCATAATTTTTCTTAAATTTATAAAATTCTAATCCATCTGTGACAGTATCAAATTTATTGGTCTTTATTATTATAATAAATTAGAATAATTATATTAGATTTATATTTTATTTTACAGATTATTGCTATGTTACATACTATATCACATATGACTTACTATGCCACAATCATTTAATTATACCAAGAAAAGTTATATAATATATTTGAGTTATTTTAATCAAGATAGTTTTCTTAGTAGAATTTCTTTTTTTTCTTATTCTACTAATTTAGCTAGCATATTACTAAATTTATATATTTCATTTATAATTATTTATTTCTTTATTTATTT